ACACTTACAGATTAAAACCCTTAATATAAGCATATTCATCTGCAGCCCATCCATATACATCTTGAGGAAAGGGATCAATACCTTGCTGAAGAAGCAGCCTGACTACATTTGTTGAGTCATAATTTACAGCAAGCATGAAGGCTGTTCTAAAATAACAGAGATAACTTCACTCTTAGGAATTTAGAGTTATTTAAACAGCTAATTTGATATACTTTATCAGGTTAATATCTTGCCTATCTGTTCAGAATCGACCATTTACATGTTTCAGTGTTCATCTGTGTAAATGATCTCCAAGAGTAAAATGAAGGGACAAAAAGGAAGCTTCTTGTCCCACTTGGGTAATGTATTATAGACTTGCTAATTTAACGTCTTTTGATAAACAAGAAACTATGCTAGGTCACTTATCTGAATAGGTAAAGATTTAAAAAAAAATAATTCCCCACGTATTCCTTAATCTGATATAGTGCACTTCAAAGCCATCTAGAGGTCAAGCAAGTATAAAAACTATCTGCAGGCTATGATAATATTTTAATGCGAATGCTAACAAAAGAGGCATAAAGACAGTTAACGATGCTGATAAGCATATGGTAGGCACTAAATTAAATGCTATGTATATAAAATATTATTTACGCACAACCACCCTTGAAGGATATATTATTATCCTCCTTTTCATATCAGGTAACATATTTAGTGATGATACGTAACACTCCCAAGGTCACAACACCTAGCCAGTAGGAAAGCTATGAATCAACTTAGTCTTGTGTGAATCTAAAGCACATCTCTTCCTTCTTTATCACCCACCTATAACTTATCCTCATTAAAGGATAAGTCTATACAGTGAAAGTTATCTTTCATCTTTCTACTCCTACCAATTGAAAATAAAATCAAAAATACATATACTGGACATGAAAAAGGATAAAACCTGATGAGACTTGGTAATAGTAATTAATCATCACTTAGAGATCACCTAACGCCATCAGTATTACTCAAAAAAGAAAAAAAAGCAATTTAAAGAAAAGTGTCATCCAAAAGACACAACAACTCCTATTTATGTTTAATATGCATCTTTTTTTTTTAGCATTTATTTGCTTTTGAGAGACACAGCTCAAGCAAGGAGAGGGAGAGACAGTGGGATACACAGAATCCAAAGCAGCTCCAGGCTCCAAGCTGTCAGCACAGAGCCCGGCCTGGGGCTCGAACCCACGAACCATGACATCATGTCCACAGCCAAAGTCATAGACTTAA